TTTTTTTTTTTTTTTTTTGAAATAAAGCGTAAAACAGTAGCCGTAAAAGCAGACGACAGTAAAGAAGATAAAGGAGAAGGGATACAAATTTCTGTTCTGTAGAGTTAGGCGAAAGCCGACGGAGTCGCGTGTAAATCAAAGTCGAGGCCATTAAATTCTAAAGTTACGATAACACGTGAACTTTTTTCCTCGCCTAGCTGTGCAACGTATCACCATTGTTACCGAACAAGCGAGACAATGGACAGATAATACGAGGCACGAAGAACGGGAAGAACAGAAGTGGAGAAAGAAGAGGAGGAGGAGGAGGAGAAGCGCAGAGTCTCTCCAGCATCTCTTCTTATAGAGAATGGCCCGGGGCTGTCCATCGGATCGAACGTGTGAGATATGGCCGGCCACGATTGTGTCGTGTCAACTTCTCATAAAAAAACGACGATTCACCCTGAAGAGAAAATATTCAATCTTCAAACGCTCGAGTTGTGTCGATCCGTTTTGCGTTCGAATCGAAGAATGAGAAATACTTTTGTGAAGTAAATTTTGCTGGGATGAAAGAAACGGATTTGAACGATTCCATTGATCCAACTCGAAACATGTTGTATCTTCGTATTCATTATTTTAAATATTTTCAATTCATTATATTCGAATTTTTCTCGAAATTGAAAAGATTTGAGGTGTCTATTAAAATTACGAATTATATATATTTTAATGAACGAGATGATCTCAAATTTATGATCGATAATTCGTGCTTGTCGTTTCATCAATTCGATAATAGGATGCGGTTAAGAATTTAACGATTTTCGATATCATAATGTAAGAGATAAAGCTGCAAACATCTCGTGAAACGAAAAAATTAGCTAATCTTCCCCCTTCACGATTTTTTTTAAAAAATTATTTCATATCATTATAAGATAGTTATAAGAGGGAGGGGGGGAGAAATATAATCTCTTTATCAAAGTAATAATATTTACGTTTTCGAAAGCGATGCATTTTCTAATGCATTTTTTATCTTTAATCTCGCAGGGCGCGATAAGAAGAGAGAAGTTAAAAGTTGCGATAAAGTGAAGCGAATTCTTTGGAAATTTTTACAAGAGACGAGAAAATAACGAACGGATTCTCGGAAATCTAAATCTTTGATGGAGTGATCATACGCACCTGTGTTTCTGTTCTGTTAAATTTGTACATATAAATATAGCTTCGTTCAAACGTTACTTTAACACCAATTAAAAATTCAAAAGCAGTCGTTTTTCCACCAATTTTTTCATTCTCTATTTTCTTAAAATATCCAAGAACATTAACAAATCTTGAAAAAAAATGTTTTATGCAAATAAAATCTAAGGTAATTGTAGCTACATTTATACATTTTCGAATGAGAGGAAATAAGCACAACACTGTCCAACGTATATAGATCGTATTTATATGGAAAACTAAAACTGCAGGTCTCACGAGCATGAAAAAAAAAATCGTTTTTTTAAATCCGACTTAACTCGAGCGAGCGCGGTAAGAGGTTAAAATGGCATCGAACTTCCAAAAAGTTTAGATTCAATGCGAACTTGTGTTCCAGATCACGAAATTTAAACCGACTCTCGCTCTATATTTCGTTCCATCGCGAAAGCCCCCCCCTCCTATATATATTTTCGTATAGCATCTTACCTATTGCTGCACTCGTATTCTCGCTCTGATTGGTCGCCTATTTTCCTATCGCCCATACCCTCGCGTCCATTCCACGTCCAACGAGATTGATTTTCAACTTAATTTCTTAAAAACTATGTACAACTCTTATTGATATTATTTTTCAACGCGTGTTCAGATATAAAATAATAATTAAAAAAATAAACGAATCGAATTTTAATCACTTTAGAAACTGTTATAAAATTCAGGTCGATAAGTATCGAATTAATATTCTTTTAACGATCATTCCGCTCTGATTTTCACTCACGCATTCCGTTGGTTGGGGAGATATTAACCGGAAGAATTTTAAACGGTCTTTCTATTTTTGTTTGTTTCCTCGAATTGGAAATCCGCCTTAAAGATAATTATCGTTGCGTTACCGTGTCACCTTGAGTGAAACGTGAACGTTGTTATTATCGTACTTTCCTACGATTCATCGTTGTTACTGTAAAACAAGGGTTAACGAATAGAAATTGTTGAATTTATAAAGTAAAATGTTATTAAATTTAGCTTTTTATTTAGATAATTCGTGATGATAATAAGAATTATTTGAAAAGTTATAATTTGGATTAATTATTAACGATATAATAATGAATACTAATAATGAAATGAATATCTATTTGCTGTAAATTTTTTAACGGTAGAATTTCACTTTGACGATCTCAATTTTTAAATCTGAACAGGCAGAAGTTTCAGAAGAGGAATCGAATCGATTCGATAATTATTATTAATATTTCTTTTTCTTAAATTCTTCGTTAGAAAATAGAACGAGAGAAAGGCAGAGAAAATTTGAAAAGATATATCGGTGAAGAGAAATAGCATTTCGAACGAAAGTTAACTGTTCTATCGTAATTTGCCACTTAAATCGAGTAGGAAAAGTTTGGTGAAACGAACAAGATTGGATTGCGTGTGAGTGAAACCGTTCATAGAACATGGATCTATAAAATGCGACTGTACTCTATTCAAAGAATTCTTATCATTTTCGACCTCTTTGAAATCAACGTGAATGTTGAAAGATATTTTTACGTTATCCGATTAAACGATAAATTTTAATCGATCGATGGTCCAACATCGAGCAATTTGAACGATTCTTATATTAAATCGATCAAATGAAAAGTTATAATCGTATATAATACTGTCATTAGGCAATTCACTTTTACGATAAATTTTAATTAAATTGATGTTATTGAGCAACTTGGATTTTTATATTAAATCAAGTAAAAAAATTGTAATCGACTTCCATTATGGCATTGGACAACTTTCACGTTAAATCCATTAAATGAAAAATTGTAATCGATCGATGTCCAACATTGAGCAACATTTTTAATATCAAATCGATTCAATACTGTCATTAATTTGGAAGATTTTTATATTAAATCAAATAAAAAATTGTAATCGATTTCCATTGGACAACTTTCACGTTAAATCCAATAAATGAAAAATTGTAATCGATCGAATGAAAATTCTAACCTATCAATATCGTTAAAAAATTTTTATATTAACTCAAATGTCAAATGAAAAATTGTAAGCGATCGATGTCCAACACTGGTATTAGGCAACATTCAGACCATTCTTGTTCCCTTGTTTTCCAATGAAAAATACAATGTCAAGTAGCGGTACGCACTGTATTGGAAGTGCGTGTTTAACCTAGATCGTTCACGGTACGACATTGTGCTAGACGTTCTCGATAAGATCGCGAGCATAATGATAGACACTGGCATATTGCCGAATCACTGCTCCTAAAATATAACCATTCGTTTCGTACAAGGATGTGAAATCTTTCTCGTCCTCGTTCCTATATCTCTTTTCGTTTCTTCTTCTTCTTCTTCTTGTATCCGTGGCGAAATTTACTCGACACGCGACCACCGCTATCATCAACGAGTAAGGAGAATCGAGAAAGCGTAACAAACCGCGAGATAATTATTAAGCGACGAGGACGGAATGTAAACAGGAAAAATCTTCGACAAAACTGTGACTTGAGGAAAGAAAAAGTTGACAACTGGTCAAGCTTGAGCGGCGCGTGCTCGTTTCGCGAAGAACACATTCCAAGATCGTGATTTTATACGATGAGAGTTCTTTAGATTCTGCTTCTTATCGAGAGAAAATAAATTAAATTAAGGATAACTCGTTTGATGATAGCTATTCCGTAAAGAACAGGAGAAAGTGTATCGTACAAATTTTCTAATCGATGATTTTCCATCCATCTAAAAAAATAGAAATTTTATCGAACTACTTACTTATCGAGAAAAAATAAATTAAATTAAGAATACTCGTTTGATAATTATTCCGTAAAGAATATAAAAACAGGAGAAAGTGTATCATATAAATTTTCTATCCACAAACTGGAAGTTTTGTCAAAATTTATTATATATATAATATCTTTCAAAATGCAGATATAGGTTAGGTTAACTTAGGTATAGGCTAGATATGCTATAAATACTTTTTTTTCTGTAAAAAAAATAGCACTGTTTCGTTAAGAATATATTTATTCGATAACGGATAAAGAAACCTCGAATTTCGAATCATGAACCATAAGTCGCCGCCGGCGCGGAGCCGTAAATTTCGAATACCGTGTAAACCGATCGAACAATGCGACGCCTGACTATGACGCAAATTGTTATCTCGGTAACGTATCGATTCTCCACTTTATTCCTTTCCCGTTGTTAGTCATATGTCACACGATGTGTCGCGTGGTATTGTTTCGACTAGCGACAAAGGGTTCGAAAACCGGTAGCTCTCGTTCGACAAGATGAAATAGAGAACCGAACAGTAATTACGTTTCTCAAACGATCCAAGCGCCTCCTGCCTCGGAAACGATAGTTACCGTACAAGGTGTGCCATCTAACAAGCGTGAAAATAAAAAAAAAGATAGAAGAAAATGATATTTCATCTTCTATAGATAGATAATGGAACATAATTACTTTAAATCGTAGAATCGAAATTGGTGAAACGTAGCGAAGCAATATATTATAATTCTTTAATTAATTCAAACAATATAAGTGATGAAATATTTGAATGAACGAAATTATTTTATCGTAAGTTGAAAAATAAAAATCTTGTATCTTTTGCCTTTCGTACAATACAATTAGTATTTATCATGTTTCACTGGCCCACATTTAACCCACGAAATGCCGGTCCACTATCGACAATTGCCCCACATTTAATCATTATCGTAATTAATCTTTCACGTAACCACGTGAAAATGCTTCACGAGTATGATGTTACGCTCGCAAACACTCGAACCGTGGCATGCGGGCACATATGCTCGTGTTACATTTGCATACGCGCGTAACACAGGCCAAGCAAAGACAGGTGTACAACAAAGGGATACCTTGTGTGCGGGCCTTTCCGTATCTCCACGACCTTTTTAAGCCTTGACAACCTGGCTACGTCAACTTTTCGCAATCGGACACGGTAATGCCGTCCACCATTTCCTATCCGGTTTCATCTTTTTCTTTTTTTTACTTTTTTTTTTTTCTTTTTAATGCAATAATATTTTTTATTTTTTTTATCGTAGAAAATACCATTGGTTGAGGTCATAGGCGAAGGATTCATCAAGTAATCTTGTAACTAAACGTATAACATTTCAGAAAACCGTGGATACACATACATCATCGCGATAAGAATGATAAACGATCTGCTTGACATCATGATTTCATACATGGTGACGTAATAAACGACAACTAGTAGTGACTTTCCTCTAAAGCCGAAAACATACTGATTAGTAGACTGCGAATTTTTGTGCAAATATGTATTACACTTGTTGACAAAAGTTGAGAAACAAACTAATCGTTAATCTTTATATTTCTTTATATTTCTACTCTCTTTATTACGCTTAAACGTATTCAAAGAAACTTTATTAGT